GCCGGATGCAGAGAGGAGGAGTGGGACATGGAACTATGGTCTGGTGCTGAAGGTGGATAGAGAGAGGAGAAACCTTTTTGATGCAGGGCTTTTATGAAGCTCTTCACTCGAGCCTGTGTTGATTGGGTTTTCCCTATTAAAGATGACTTTACTCAAGGCACTTTTTGGGATGATGTTGGCTCCCAGCATGGCAGGAGCATGCTGGAGCATCCGACCCAACGCCGTGGGCTTGGTTTTGGTTGTATGGGTTTATTTTGAGGTGAAAACAAGAAGACAAAACTGAAGCTGTTGCCCTTTGCCAGCAGGGAAATACTACCCCAGATTTTCTACTTCACACCTTTTAGGATATGAGGTGCATTGGTGGGGCTTTTTTAACTGGGGGCTTTGCTTTTTCACCTCCCTCAGGGTAAAAGAAGAGGGAGAAGGGCCCTGTTGTATATACGATGGGGGTTTTTTAACTGTGCTGAATGGATCATGCACTCGAGTAGCTGATGATTTGTAGTCGAACATCGTTCCTTTGTATGTTTGTACTAATGGCGATTTTCAACGGGATGCTTTGATTTGTACAAAACTCTTTGGCGACTGTAAAAGTGTTTTCAAAAAGCCTCATCTGTGTCTCAGACTTCTTCTTTACCTGCAGGAAAACCAAAGCACCTTCCCCTGCCCACAACTGCTTTAGCACCTGGTGGTGGAAGCACCCATAGTGTTGCTTTGCAGTCTGGTTGCGTTTGGGACTGAGATGCTGGGTTTCTGTTGTTTGCTGCTTTCATTTCCCCCTTTAAATCCTCCTGATGAAGGCTGTTGCTAGGCTCCTTGTTACTTGGTTACATCCAGCTTCCCAGGACCCATCCAGCTGCATCCCACGGGATCTGGGCTGTATTTTCTTCCCCAAGAATGAAGGCAGAGCATAGAAACAAGAAGCCAGGAGGAAAAGGGGGGGTGCAAGGGAGGTGAGTAAGCACCATATGAAGCCTTCCCCTTATCCCAGCCCCAACTCTGGAGGAAGACCAGGGCTTTGGGCTTTGTTTCTTAAAGCTTTTCATTTCCCAACAGAAATCCGGGAGTGAAAACCTCCTGGAGAGTTCAATTTGGGAATGTCCCTGTCCTGTGGGAGCTGCAGGTCAGCGCTGAGTGCTTCCCCTGCCTGTTTACACCAGGCAAGGACCTGCTGTGTCCTTGAAAGTCTGCTCCCTGCATTGCAGGGTGGGGAAAGGCAAATCTTAGCTCTCCTGCTTCGAGCCCTGCAGCCTCCCATTGTTTCTGCAGCGCAGGGGGATGCCTCCTACAAGTACCTGTGCCAAAAACCAGGGCTTAGTGCCTTCAATCAGGGCAGAACCCCCTGGGGATACACAGGGAGAGGGTTCCAAACCACTGTGCTTCATGCAATGTGTCCTTCACAGCATGTCACTGAGCTGAGCCTTAAATCTGCAGCCTTCAGCAGCTCCTTATCCCTCTTCTTCCTCCTCCTTATGCTTGCTTTCAGGTGCCTGGATGACGAACTGCCCCTGGAGAAGGTGAGCTGGCACCTTCCTGCTGCTGCCTGAGTGTGCCAGCGATGCTTGGCGCTTCCAGGGTGCTTTATCTCTGCTGAGCACAGCAATGGGAATGGGCCCAATTATCCTGCTTTACAGCAGGGCAGGAGATAGATGAGAGCTGATGTGCCAAAGGCTGAGCTCCGACCCAGCGGGGAGAGCTGGAGCCAGGCAAAGAACCTCCTGGTGTCTGCCGTGTGGAGCTGCAGGGAGATTCCAGCTGGATTCAGGGAATTGCTGCACTTTCCAGCCAGGCATTGGGTAAGAAATGGCTGGCTCCTGCCCTTACCTGGTTTATCCAGTGCTTGCAGATGGATACATGGATATATTCAGTTCATTTTGGGTTGTGATTGCTTTATTCCAAAGCTTTAGGAAAACACAGTTTTCATAGTAACTGAACACACCTAAATAGGACACACGGATCTCAGCCACTTGCTAGTAATCAAATCCAGGTAAAAACTGAGTTCCAGGTTTTTTCCCCATTCCAATCCTTTCAACTGAGCTGATCTTTGGCTGCGCCTTGCCTGAAGCTCAGTGCCTCTGCAGCGCTGAGCTGGGGAGCTGAAGGTGCTTGGGTTTGCAGAGCACTTCCTAACCAAGAGGATTAGATTTTAACCTGGTTTGTCTTAAGTAATTACTTGCCTAAATATCTCCTTTACCGTCTTGCAGGGCCCCTGGCAAGGATCTGGAACTCTTTCGCAGCCTAATAGCATGTACCTGCAGCAGAACTAAACCTGCTCAAGCAGAAGTCAGCCGACTTAACCAGCCTGGTAATTACTCAGCACCACATTCCCTTCCATTCCTCCCTCATTGCTGGGCTTTCCTGGGAGCACTGGGGGCAACAGGCTTTAAAATGGGCTTTAAAGAACCCCAACACTGAGGATCTTTAAATCCTTTCAAGCTGTAGTAAGTGATGTGCTGTAGCTGAGCCAGGAGAGGAGAGCAGCAGCCTTGGGCTGGAGATGAAGGGAACAAACTGGCAGTGAGACCTGCTCCTTTGGGATGGAGTTTTTCCCTTTTTCACAAGATTTCCATGAAGAAAACTCAGCTGCCCTTTGCCTTCTTCCAAAGGGAGTCTCCAGAGCTCCAGGAGTCCAAAGGTGTTTTGGCTGTAACCCCTGTCCTTACCAGTTCTGGACCAGCTCCACTGTGTTCAGTCCCTGCTCCCAGAGCACGTGGGGATAGCAGCTCCCTCCTATTGCTATTCCCAAAGCTTCCAGAGCAGTGAGGATCACAAACCAGTAGGAACCATTGTTTCTAAGGTATTTATGCTGGAGAAGATATGTCCATCCTCCTTTGGTATAGAAACACGGATGGAGCAGGATGCTCCTGTTGGCCTCGCAGGTGATGCAGTACCAAGGACCACATTAGCAGTGACCTCTATGGCTCCAAACGCTGCAGCTGCAGAGGAATCTTCTCCCCACAAAGGGGTGGGCTTCCATCTTCCAGCTCCCCAAGGCTTGGTGCTGGTGGGTTTTCCCACTGGAGGCTGTTAGTGGGGAGGTGTGGGGTGACCAGCCATGGGGGTGATCCAGCTCCCACATCTTCCTACAGGAGTGGGGCATGTGAGGAAGGGAAACACTTAATGATGGGTGTCTTATCTGCTCCAGGGGCTCCCTATGGACAGTCCCTGCGTGGTCTCTGCTGCTTCCCTTTGTCCTCAGAGTCCAGACTGGCCAAAACCACAGACCTGGTGATGTCCCTAACAGTTGTCCCCAGTCAACCTTGCTGTTTGCTCTAAGGTGACTTATGTTGAGCAATAGGCATTGCCTCCCTGCTCAGCTTCCTTGCAGCTCTTCAACCCAAGCGAGACTTGTCCAGTCAGCGTCTCGAGCACTGTCAGTCCCTAAGGAATTGCTGAGCTGTCCCTTGTTTCCCCTGATTGGTGGTGCTGGGAACAGGGTGGTTGGGTTCAGCTCTCAGGTTCCTCTCTCGAGGAAATGTTGCATCTCCTTTGTCACCCTTTTTCCAAGGAATATTGCATTGGGCCTCGCTGGAATGCTGCTGTGTGCCTGGGATCAACCAGCAGGGAGAAACCCTCCTCCAGTTGTATTTCCATGAGGAGTAAGTGGGCAACAGAGACTGGAGCCCAAGTCTGAGGAGGAATGGCTGAGGGAACTGGTGAAGGCTCAGGGGGACCTTATTGCTCTCTACAAGTACCTGACAGGAGGTTGCAGTGAGGTGGGATCAGTCTCTGCTCCCAAGAAACAAGGAATGGGACAAGAGGAAACAGCCTCAAGCTGCACCAGGGAAGGTTTAGATGGAGCTGAGGAACAATTCCTTCCCCAAAGGGTGGTCAGGCATCGGAACAGGCTGCCCAGGGCAGGGCTGGAGTCACCGTCCGTTGGAAGTGTTCAAGGCCAGGTTGAACAGGGCTTGGAGCAACCTACTCTAGTGGAAGGTGTCCCTGCCCTGGGTGTGCTTTAAGGTCCCTTTCAACCCAAACCATTCCAGGATTCTGGCACCCGCATGGCAAGGTGCAAACTCTGGTGCTTATCGGCTGGGATGGGCTGACCTGGGGCTGTGGAACAGATGGGATTAATTGTGGGCTGCTCTGCTCTTGCTCCCTGCACCAGCGTGCCAGCTTCGGGGAAAACATCCTCCTGGCACAGCCTTTGCTGTCTTCTGATGGGGTATTTTTAGATCGGGTACTTGGCAGCATCTCCAGCGGGATCACTGCCTGGAGAGGTGAGCCCACCTCTCACCACAGCCCCGTGGTCCCTGTGGCCCTGTCAACGTGTCACCCTCGTGTCCAGAGCTTTTGGGGGGGGACGGAAAGGGGAGAGCAGAAACAGCAAAACACCCCTATAAATAGCAGCAGGGTGTTGGGTGTCTGAGCCGCGCCGGGAAGGGGACAAGGACAAGGAGCAGCAGTCCAGGGGGCATCTGACACTCTTGGCTGTGCCGCCACGTTGAGTTCATGCCATGCTGGGTTAATGGGCCGGAGCTCGGGCTGGAAGCTGTTTCCAGGCAAATCCGGAGTTGTTTGTGCAGCAGCTCCCATGGGCTGGACTTTGCCGTGTGCAGGCTGCCGAGCAGCAGCAGGCTGTTATCAGTGCAGCCGTCGGTGGCTGCCCGCGGTGGGGGGATGAGGGGGGTATTTTTTGACTCCTTTCCTTTTTCATTGGCTTTGGGCCCTGTTGTTCCAGGGGATGGGAGCTGCAGCTCATGGGGCTCCCCCTCGGTGGGTGAATCCCGGTGTCCTGTAGGAGTGCCTGGGGGGCTGCGGGCTGCGGGAGGGGGATTCTGCCTGGTTCCTTCCCCCCCTGGCCCCAGCATCGTTTCCCATCGCTCCCTGCACCCAGGGATGGGAGCGCCGCGGGGCACGCTCGGATCCTCCCGTGGGACCCACGGAACTACAACCCCCAGCGCTCCCCGCGCCGCCGCCGCTCCCCATTGGCTGGCGGCCGCGCCTTGGCCACGCCTCCTCCTTGCCCATTGGCAGAGCCGCAGAAGGGGGCGTGGCCGCCCCGCCGCCGCGCTATGAAAGCCGTGCGGGCGCCGGGGCACCGGGAGCTTGCAGCGCTCTAGAGCCCGGGGGGACCCCGGGACCCCCCGTGTCCCCCCCCCCCGGGGCCGGCCCCGCCATGCTGGTGGCCGGCTCTCCGTGCGGCCCCGCGGGGCTGCGGCAGTACCGGGGCTGTGGGGGCCGGCGGGGCTGCGAGGTAAGGGCCGGGCCGGGCCGGGCTGGCCGGGGCTATCCCGCTTGGCATCGCCCTCCCGGGGTGGGATGCGGTGACCCATCCGCTGTGCCCCCCCTCGGGACTGGTTGTAGGGGGCGGGGAACCGGGGATGTGGTGGAGGAGCCGGGGCCGGCTCCAGCCGAAGGGTGCTGCTGGGAGCCCACCCAGGGGTGCTGGGGATGGATTGGCCCCATCCCGGCATTGGGATGGTTGGAAGGGGAGATCTTGGGACGTCCCTAATGCTGTGGAGAGGAGGTTCTGCCTGGAGCAGTGGGCTGGGAGGTGAGACAAGGGGCCTCTGGGGTCTCCGTCCAATTGCTGCTGTTCCCGGACGGGGAATGGGATTTCTTTCCATGTCCCCATGCCTGGCATCACCCGTGGCTTCTGGACTTGGAGGCTAATGTGCAGAATGTGAGTCCCTGAGGTGCCTGTGGGGTTTTATGGATAGCCCTGTCGCCAGTCCGCAACTTCGGTCCTCCAACATTCCGACTTTCCTGGGGATGGCATCTCTTCAAAAAGTCTTAACACTCCCGTGTTGTCCTGGTGCTTTGGAGCCAGCTCGGGGAGAGCCGGTGCTGGTGGGAATGCCCTAGACCTTGGTACCATGGGCTGGAACCGTCCCATCCACCGTGCCCTTGGCGCTGCTCTCACCCCCCATGGGGCAGCTTCCAGCCCCGTTCCAGGCAGGAGACGGTTCCGAGGGGCAGACCCGCTCCGCCGGGTGCCTGCAGGGTGTTTGCTTAACCTCCCCTTATCGGGAATGATTTTCCAACACCTGACTAAGCACTGGCTCCAGCGCTGCTTGGCACACCCCGCCTGCTCCCGAGGGATTAACTCCTTCCCCAGCGCCTCCGTAGAGCCCCAGGGCAGGCTGGAGGTTGGGAGCAGGTCTGAGCCAGCGCCTCGCCTCAGTGTCCCCAGCAGTGGAAGCAGGAGGTGGTACCTTACACAGCGGTGGTGCAGTGCGGGTTAACCGCTGAGCACCGCTTAATGCAGGCAGACAGAACGAGCCTCTTCGGAGGGATGATTAAAACGCACCTTCCAAGGTCACCCTGAGCTGTCATTGCCGGGCTCCAGGCTCCTTCCTGCCACCCGGGCTGGAAATCCACGGTCTGTCGCCATGGATTTGCATTGCTGGGGTCCCAAGGGAGCCTCTTGAAGCACCAAAGCAGCTCTTTTGCCCCCAAAAGTGAGTCAGCACTGAGCCAGCTCAGCACCTGCTGTCACCCCAGTGTCACGCCAGGCTCTTCAGTGGTGACTCAGGGCAGGAGCATCCTGCTGGGAGCAATGGGAGCTGCTGGATGCAGGTGCTGGTGGCAAGGTCCTTAACAGGGCACCACGGAGAGTGGGGTGTGCAGTCTGCGGTTGGCACCCACGGGAGCTGTGTGTCCCTGGTCTGGGGTTGACACCCATGGGTGCTGCATGTCCCCTGTCTGCCATTGACACCATGTCCCTGGGACACTCAGTGGCCGGGCTGACACTGTTGTTCCTTCCTTCCTAGGACACAGGGATCCAGGTCCCCCAGGAGCTGGAGAAGGGGCCCAGCGCCTTCATCCCCCTGCAGGAGGTGAGAGGATGGCGATGGTCCTGGGTGGGTGCTGCCAGGGGACAGGGCAGGATTCCCAACCCCTATTGCTGGTGCTGGGGTGCGATGGGGAAGGGTCCCCACTCTGCTGTGGCAGTGGGGGGGAGCAGTTGTGTTCCAACCTGCCGTGCCTCAGTTTCCCCATTCATCCAAACCCCTATCCCCCAGTAACACCCTGCGGTCCCCATAGGGCACCCTCAGCCCTATCTCAGCACCCAGTGCCTGGGTCCCAGATGTTCCTCCTGCGCTGGAGATAACAGAATGATTTCGTCACCCAGAGAGGCTGGGGGGGGCGGGCCCATCTTCTCCTCCCCATTACACACCAGGGCCCAAACAACCAAACAACCCCACTGACTGGGCTGTGCAGGGTCCACCATGGAGCCCCCCAGAGCTGGGAGCAGTGGGGAGCAGAGACGGTGTCCGTACCGGGCAGGGGTGAGTGCTCAGGGGGGTGGGATGGGTGCTGCTGGGTCCTGATACTTGGGTTTAGGGGGTTCCTATTGGGCGGAGGGGCTGCAGCACAAAGCCCTCCTCTCCCCATGCCCACAGATCCTGCAGGAGGGGATGGAGAGCAGCCTGCGCCAGCTCCTCATCGAGGCCTTCGTCTCGGCGGGCCGGGTGGACAACATCACCATGGTCATGGGGCTGCACCCCCAGTATCTCAGCAGCTTCTGGAAGACCCAGTGCCTCCTGCTGCGCATGGACGGGCCCCTGCCCTACCACAAGCGCCACTACATCGCCATCATGGTGAGCATCGGGCTGCTTTGGGCTCTGGGGTCCTTTCCTGGGCTTTTGGGACCTCAGTGATGGGTCCTCCTCGGAGCTGTGGTCCCAGAGGCTTGGTCGCATGGTCCCTATCCTGGGTACCCGGCATCCTGGGGTACTGGTATGCCCTGGGTACCCATCACCCCTTCCCTCCAGTCCATGGGGACTGGTGCTGATGGTGGTGGGGGGGGGGGCAGGGACTCCTGTCTGTCCACTCATCCCTAAGGAAAACCCTCCAAGAGGGATGGAGGGAGGTGGCTCCTTGCTGTGGCTTCTCCAAGGCCTTCTAGCAGGGTTGGGTGCTGACTGCCCCGGCTCTCCCCACAGGCAGCAGCTCGGCACCAGTGCTCCTACCTGGTGGGCTTGCACATGGGGGAGTTCCTGCAGGTGGGGGGCAACCCTGCGTGGCTGCAGGGGCTGCACTGTGCCCCCCCGAAGCTCAGGAACCTCAATGAGATCAACAAGCTGCTGGCACACCGGCCCTGGCTCATCACCAAGGAGCACATCGAGGTGAGAGCACCCCAAACCCCGCAGCCAGTTTGGGGGGGGGGGCACATCCTGCTTGTACAACTCCCCCCCCGGGCTGAACCCATGGGAACGGGTGGCTTGTGCCCTATGGCTGGTCTATGGGGAGGCACATCCTGAACCCGCTCATCCCTCCCAGCCCCATGGCTCTGGGGTGTGATGCAGCCATGGGGGGGTCTCTCCAATGCCATGTCCCTCGCAGGCCCTGCTGAAGACAGGGGAGAACAGTTGGTCCCTGGCAGAGCTGGTGCAGGCCCTGGTGCTCCTCACCCATTACCACTCCCTCGCATCCTTCGTCTTCGGCTGCGGCATCAACCCCGAGGAGGACCAGGAGGGGGGACAGGGCTCCTGGCCCCCCCCGACCCACAGCGACAGCAGCCCGGCCTTTGAGGACAGCATGGGGGGCTCTGGGGTAAAAGAGGGGGCTCAGCCTTGCAGGGGTTGGGGTGGGTAGGGGGGGCATGGTGGAGTGATGAGCTGCCCTATGGGGCTTCCACTGGGCGCAGCTTTAGAGCCGTCTTCCCAGTGCCAGGGATGAGGCACGGGAAGAGCCAGGGTCTGGGCAAGGCCCGGAGGCTGGGGCTGGTTCCGAGCTGCAAGCAGCTCCATGCTCCCCTTTGCAACCCCTCTGCAGCCTTGACCCTGGGCTCTGCTTCCCCAGGCCAGAGATGCCATGCAGGAGGTGGAGGTGCTGATGGAGAGGATGAAGCTGCTGCAGGAGAGCCAGCAGGAGGAGGAGGGCGTCACGCAGGAGGAGATGGAAACGCGCTTTGAGATGGAGAAGACGGAGAGCTTGCTGGTGGCTCCCTCGGGTGAGGAGGAGCAGGGGTGGTGCTGGCTGGAAGTGGGGTCCCCATGGGGCAGGGAGGGGGGAAGGAGCTGGGAACAGTGCAGGGATGAGCAGGATGAGCTCCGTGATGAGCCCACATCACCCATGGCCACTGCGGTGCTGTCTCCTAGACCTTGCGGATCACTCCCTGCAGTCCAACGTGCTCTGCTTTGTGGAGGACCCCGAGTTCGGCTACAAGGACTTCACCCGGCGGGGGGAGCAGGCACCCCCCACCTTCCGTGCGCAGGTGGGTGCTCACATCCCATCCTGCACAAAGGGAAGGGATGCAGGGGGCTGGTCCCTGGCTTTGAAGGGAGCCAGGCTGAGAGACCTGGGCTGGTTCAGCCTCTAAGGGGAGACCTCAGAGCAGCTCCAGTGCCTGAAGGGGCTGCAGGAAACCTGGAGAGGGGCTTGGGACAAGGGCCTGTAGGGACAGGCCAAGGGGAATGGCTTTAACCTGCCAGAGGGGAGACTGAGATGAGCTCTTAGGCAGAAGCTCTTCCCTGTGAGGGTGCTGAGGCGCTGGCACAGGGTGCCCAGAGAAGCTGTGGCTGCCCCATCCCTGGCAGTGTTCAAGGCCAGGTTGGACACAGGGGCTTGGAGCAAGCTGCTCTAGTGGAAGGGGTCCCTGCCTGTGGCAGGGGTTGGAGCTGGAGGAGCTTTAAGGTCCCTTCAACATAAACCAGGCTGGGAATCTATGGCCCCACAATTCCCCAGCATCCTTTCTCCGGCAGGATTACACCTGGGAGGACCATGGCTACTCGCTCATCAACCGCCTCTACCCCGACGTGGGGCAGCTCCTGGATGAGAAGTTCCAGGTCGTCTACAACCTGACGTACAACACCATCGCCATGCACTGCGGCGTGGACACGTCCATGCTGCGCAGGGCCATCTGGAACTACGTCCACTGTGTCTTTGGCATCCGGTGGGTCCGTGAGCCTGGCCTCCACCTTGGGTAGAGCCCATGAGCGGCTCCAGCCTGAGGGCTCGGGCTTGGTCTTGGTGCTGCTGTTTAGCCTAAGGCAAAGCGATGCTGTTGGGGGATCCCGGGGCTGTGCCTGGAGTAACGTGCTCTCCTCTTTGTCCCAGCTATGATGACTACGACTATGGGGAGGTGAATCAGCTCCTGGAGCGCAACTTGAAGATCTACATCAAGACGGTGGCTTGCTACCCGGAGAAGACAACCAAGCGGGTGTACACACAGTTCTGGAGACACTTCAAGCACTCGGAGAAGGTGCTGTCCCATCCCTTCCCCTCCTCATCCTGGCGGTGCTGAGCCCCTCTGTGGCCTGACCCTGCTCTCCCTGTGTAGGTGCACATCAACCTGCTCTTGCTGGAGGCTCGGATGCAGGCAGCTCTGCTCTATGCCCTGAGAGCCGTCACCCGCTACATGACCTGACCAGCATCTGCTCCCTCCTCCTCCTCCTCCTTCAGGGGGGAAGCCAAGGGGGGGAGCTAGTACCATAAGGACTTTGTTGGAACGTCGTCTCCCTGCTTAAGGAGCTGTGGAAGGAGAGTTGGGGCTTCCCCATCCCTCTTCCCAAGAGAGGGGACCCAACAGCCATCAGTGCTGGGAAGACCCAGCAATGCTGCCCTGGGCTTGGGGGTGCTCGATGAAGCCAACCCAGGGTGCTGTGGGTGCTGCCTTCACCGTATAGTGCTGGTGTTCTGTACAGTCATGGTGTCCATGTTCCATGTCCTGGCACCAAGACTGTCACTGGGGAGGAGGGGGCAGAGAGCAGCACAGGATGGACAGCACCGGCTTTGCTCCTGCTTCTTGGGGTCATCCTGTGCTGGAAGCCATGGGGGTGCTGCCCTGGCACCCCCTTCCCACCCAAGGAAGGCACCACAGCAGCGTTGGGAAGGATCCAGGCACCCCGGGTGCTGTTCATCTCCGAGCTGGGATCACCTCCGTGCCTTGTCCCTGCTGTGACCTGGGGCCATCCCCTCTGCCTGAGGTGGGGAATGGGCTGCTCTGAGGGTGGTGGGGTGGGCTATGGGGTGGCTGTAGCTTTATCCAGAGCACGTCCCAGGGCGCGGGTCGCTGGGGAGGTGCCTGTTGGGATGAATCCTGGCTCAGCCACTCTTGGGTTGGCCCCGTGGCCCCTTACTCCAGTTAAGTTATTTCTATGTGGTTTGGGGTGGATTTACTCCTGCCTGGGCACGGTGATGCCTTTGGGCCTCGGGTACAGACCTTGTTTGAGAGAATAAAATGGTCATTTTCTTATTCCTCTTTCCCAATGTGCTGCCATGCAGGAGGGGGGAGATGCAGCTTCCTTTTCCCCTCACATGATGGGCTGAGGGTGTCCTGGGAACAGCCTTGGATTGTCCAAGGGGACAAATGGGAGGCCCATTTGCCTCAGGGGTTGGGCTCCCCTGCACCCCTCCTTGTAGTGCCCATCCCTATCTTCTTGGTGTTGGGGTACCAGGATTTGGGGTACCCGCACTCATCCCGGTGTAGGTGTCAGGTGGGATGCTCCATTCCTGCTGCTGGGATGGAGCTGGGGGTGTGTGTGTGTGTGTGTGAAGCAGCACTTGGGGGCATCCCAGCCTTGTGACAGGGAGCTCAGCACTTATCAGGGTGCAGGCAGGAGCCCCTGACAGCTGCCGATAAGATCCTTGAGGAGGGAGCAGCCTGTGCCCCTGTTCCAGCCCCATCCCTGCAGCCCAAGGAGCTGGATCCCAGCCCCTTCAGACAGGTAGGACTTGGCATGGGGACATGGGACTGGATGTGGCTCAGACCCCAGCAGCATGGGAAGGGTTTGATGCGTGTGTACAGGGCACCGCACGTGGCTGGTGGCTGGTGGCTGCAGGTTCAGCAATGCACAGGTAAGGGTGAGCACAACGCTTACGAGCCACCAGAGAACCCCCTGTTCTCTGTGTGTTTGTGTGTGGAAGGGGGGAAATGGCCTCGTTTGGGGAAGTGAAATCAATGGCAATGGCTGGAAAAGCAGCAGCAAGGAGATGGGATCTAGGGAGGGACTGCTCCTGCTGCCTTCTGGCTCTCCTGGAGGTGGTTTTGTTCCACTGGAAGCCTAAAGGTGCTGTTTCTGGTCACAAACCCAAGGTTTCCTCTCCAGGAACCCATCCGCATGGAAGAACCAATGTTTCTGGTTATTTGCTGTTGTTTCTGCTCATCCCTAATGTGCAGGGTCCATGCCCTTCATCCCCCCCATCCTTGCTGCTCTCCTGCTCCCCTCCGCTGGCCAGGCTCTAGTTCAGGCTGTGTGTGTTAAAGCAGAGACAAAGGCGCTCGTGGACTCAAGGGATCAGCCCATGGGTGCCCAGGACCCAGCAGCTGGAGATGGGTGAATCTGGGCTGGAAACAAAGCAGCTCCTCGAGGGTGAGGTGGATGTGGAGGTTCTACCCCATGGGATCACACATGTCTCCATGGGGAGCACTCTGCCGCGGTCACCCTCGGCTGAACACTGAGCCCCCATGTTCCCAGTCCCATCCCAACACTGGAGCCCCAGAGAGGGTTCAGTGGGGTGGAGAGGTGGGAGGGAAGGGACCTGCCCCTTCTCGCTGCCTTAGCTCATGGGAACAGAATGTGTCCTGCCCATGGAGCCCAAAATATCCCTGCGCCCAGAGCCAGTGCTGCTGCCTTGTGTGACCCACCCCGTGCCACCAGGACCTGCTGTGGGGCTGGCACCGTCTCTGCTGTCACAGCCAGGTTTAACGCAGCCACGCAGCTCTGCACCCGGCCGGCACGCGGTTACACCCCGCGGTGGGCACCTTTGGAGGGCCAGGAGCCTCCATGAGCCCCTTCAAACCCAGCTCCATCCCAAAGGGAAAGCTTGGCAGGGTGAGGGTGGATCAGCACCCGACCCTCTGCTCCTCTGCGGGAGGGAACAAGCTGTTTGCTTTGGATGGAAGTGGGACAGTGCGGCTGTCACCAGAAACTGTCCTTGATGGGGACACACCGGGCTTATCCCGGGGGATCTGCAGGCTCTGGGCACCGGACTGGCCCCGGCTATGGGGTGCCATCTGCACCCGCAGCTCTGCACCGGCCGGGGGACCAAGCACCTCCATGGGTACCCATCTCCTGCCCGTGCGATGGAGCGGATTGAACCGGCTCCGCAGCACCTCAGGCCTCTCGCCCTTGGACTCGCATCGCATTTCCATCCCGAGCGGCCCTCCCCAGCCCCGGACCGGGGGCATCTTTCCAAGGACCGGCTCGGAGCTAATGCAGCCGGGGCTGGCGGAGCCGGGGCTGGCTGCTCCGTGCTGCTCCCGACCTCTCCCGGCTGCTCCCGGTTGCCTCGGCTTCCCTGGGGCGGCAGCGCCACTCGCTGGGTACCGGCAGCAGCACTGCGAATCTGTCCTGCATCCCTGCTGCCAACCTGCCCTGCATCCCTGGCTTCATCCCTGCTGCCATCCTGCCCTGCATCCCTGGCTTCATCCCTGCTGCCATCCTGCCCTGCATCCCTGGCTTCATCCCTGCTGCCATCCTGCCCTGAATTCCCGCTGCATCCCTGCCTTGCTGCCATCCTGCGCACCATCCCTGCTGCAATCCTGCCCTGCTTTCCTGTTGCCATGCATCCCTGCTGCCCTACATCCCTGCTGCCATCCTGCCCTGCATCCTGCTGCATTCCTGCCCTGCATCCCTGCATCCCTGCTGCATCCCTACCCTGCTGCCAGCCTGCCCAGCATGCCTGCTGCAATTCTGCCCTGCATCCCTGCTGCATCCCTGCGGCAAACCTTTCGCATCTCTACTGCAAATCTGCCCCATTGCAAACCTTCCCTGCTCCAAACCATTCCCATACCCCTGCTCCAAACCATTCCCGTATTCGTGCTGCAGTCATTCCATATCCCTGCTCCAAGCCATCCCCATATCCCTGCCGCAGTCATTCCATATCCCTGCTCCAAGCCATCCCCATACCCCTGCCGCAGTCATTCCATATCCCTGCTCCAAGCCATGCCTGTATCCCTGATGCAGTCATTCCATATCCCTGCTCCAAGCCATCCCCATATCCCTGATGCAGTCATTCCATATCCGTGCTCCAAACCATCCCCATATCCCTGATGCAGTCATTCCATATCCCTGCTCCAAACCATCCCCATATCCCTGATGCAGTCATTCCATATCCCTGCTCCAAACCATCCCCATATCCCTGCTCCAAGCCATCCCCATGTCCCTGCCGCAGTCACACCAGGATGGAGCTGGGACACGACCCCTGTTCCTCTCTACCGTGCCCCACAGCTCCCGGTGATCCCCATCCCGCACCCCACACCCTCACCCCCCATCACCCGCATCGCCCCGACCCCGGCTTTGCGCATAAGGGGGCGTGGCCTACACCAAGGGGGCGTGACCTACCACGAGGAGCCCCTCCTATGAGGGGGCGTGGTCTCACGCAAGGGGGCGTGTCCTGCCGCTTTGGACTACAACTCCCATGGTGCCCTGCGCGCCTCTTCTCCCGCGGCTTCCGGCGGGCCCGGGCCGGGAGCGGAGCAGCAGCGGGGGCCGCTGCCGGCAGGTGAGGCCCGGGGAGCCCCGCGCGGTCCGGTCCGGTCCGGTCCCTGTGTCCCGCGGCGGGTGGGACAGGGCCCTGCGAGGGGCCGCGGGGTGCGTGTGGGGCTGGTGTGGGGCTGGACCGGCACCAAGGGTCGCTTGGCGCCGTGCTCGGGACAGCCGGGGCCGGGGCCGTTCCCGCTGGAGCTCAAAGTCCCGCTCTAAACCCGCGCTGGAGCCCGCGGGCCGCAGGGGCTGCCCCGTGCCTGGTGCAGGGGGTGAAGGACGGGGCTTGGAGCGAGCTGCTCCGGTGAGGGTGCCGCTGCCCGGGGTTGGAGCTGGGTGAGCTTTAAGGTCCCGTGAGCCCAGACCGCTCTGTGGTCCGCAGGGCTCGTGTGCCCGGAACACCCCTGTGCTTCCCTCTGTGTTGCTTTCTCCTTCCCTCAAGCTCTCTCTGATGCAGCCCCATTGGTATTTCTTTGTTTGATCTGTCCCGTCTCGGTGTTGACTGAAACCGGAGCCGGCCCCGCTGTGCTTGCTGCTGTAATCGTGTTTGCAGGTGATGAATTATTGACCGCTTCGCCTTGCGCCCGCGGTGTTTGTGCAGGTGGAGGTGTGGGGGGGCGTAAAGTCCCTGTGTGGAACCAAAGTGAGCGATGGGAGAAGGTGAAGGGAGATGGAGATGGGATCCTGGGAAGGAATTCTTCCCTGTGAGGGTGCTGGGACACTGGGATGGGTTGAACGGGGAAGCTGTGGCTGCCCCATCCCTGGCAGTGTTCAAGGCCAGGTTGGACACAGGGGCTTGGAGCAAGCTGCTCCAGTGGAAGGGGTCCCTGCCCGTGGCAGGGGTTGGAGCTGGAGCAGCTTTGGGGTCCCTTCCAACTCGTCCCATTCTGTGGCTCTACGAGGCTGAAATGAAAAGTTCCCTTCTCAAGCATTGGGATGTTCAAATGTTGCTTCCAGGAGGCTGGCAAAGGGGGAACAGTCGGGAGTGATCCTCTTCTGTCTAAGCCTTGAATCGTATGGGAGTGAGCTCAAAGCTTGAAGCTTGCCTTTGAAAAACAGGATCATCAGTGAGTCCTGAGCAGAGCCAGGTTTGCTTGCATTGGAAGGGGAAGGATGAGGTTCCCTGTGGTCCATGCTCCGTGGGTCAAGGACTGCTTCACCTGAATTAGCTTCATAGGCTAATTGTAGAAGTTGCATGGGGGTGCAATGGAATTCCTCTGCCTGCTCTGATCTCTCTGTAAATGCCTTTGGCTCTTCAAACATAGGTTTAAATGCATCCAAATGACTTTGAAGAGTAGCCCTACAATTGTAATGTTAGCTTAAATCCCTGTTCACGTGAGGGTGCAATAAAAGGGGGAAAGAAGCCAAAATGAGGCCACTTAGGAGGGACTCTGGCACGTTGTTACGCCAGCTGAAGTTAATACCCTGGTTGGTGCTGGGAACAAACCCCTTTTCCCATTGGGAGTGACTGTGCTGATGTGTCCTAAATTTGTGTGGTTTCAAGTGTGTCAGCTTCTGCTTTCACAGGGCTTTGCTATCAGGTGCTTCTGGACTACCAAGGAATAGGTTGTATTGGAAGCATCAAGTCCTGGAAGATGGGGTGTGGGTGTCCTTTTGGAAGGACAGGGCAGTGCAGAGAAGCTGCCACAAAACATGGGGAATGTGCCTGCATCCTTGTTTTCATGGTGCTGGCTTTGTAAGCTGTGATTATGGAGCCTTCTCCTTCACTCAATCACTGGTTAATTTGATTTCCAGTTTAATTTGATGA